TTTACTTAAAACCCGAGTAAAAACCGTGACAGAATTTGGAGTGTCTCCTTCAGACCTTGGAGGATGCATTCACACAAGGAGTATGCACATATGTCATTCATGTATTTGAAGTGGGCGCCATTCTGGGGGGACCCCTGCCCGCCCTAATTTTGGTAACGGGTTGCACAGCGCATGAATACTTAACCATGCTTTTTGTGGACCAATCACATCACACAACAGAATCAGTGTCCCGGTGAGGCTAAGCGAAACGGCATCTCAAAGGAAAACCAAAGGAATTTAACAGCTATCATCCAACAGACACACAGAGTCGCAGACTTGCTTGGGAAACATTGGAATCTTTCATTACGAAAGATAGGGTGGATATTGGTTTCTTTATCTTCAATCCCCCCCAGAAAGGAAATGGTCATAGCCTACAGGTTCACTATCCATTAACGACCCTTGGAAGGTAAAAAAGCAGATGCTTACTTTCCAGTCGCCTTCGTAAAATCTGTTTTTCCAGTATCTGGAATGCAGAAAGTACAGTCAAACCTCGTTAATAAGAGGTCCTTCAGACATAGCAAATTACCTTGTTATAACAGGAAACTTGTATTATCAGGAATGAAAACAATGAAATGAAAAAAAACAAAGGGTTGGGACTTTAACATGTCCTTTATTAAGCAGAATCTTGTATCAACAGTGCTCTTATGAACAAGGTTTGACTGTACATGTAGAACAGTTGTCAAAATGTTTGATCCAGTTTTCTGCGTTTTTGGCAAGCAACCAGCAGATAGCCACTTTTCAGCAACTAGCAATCAGAGGGAAGGTAAAATCTGATTTTCTGGTAGCAGAAACCAGAAACAAAATAATAGCTGTGCTTCCTATTACATAAAAAATAATAGGTTGGGTAGGTGGGTACAGTAGTATCTTTTTTTTTCTTTTAAAGTTTTTGGGTCAAAAAGTTCAGGGTGGGGAAATTTTTTTAATTAAAAAGCAACTCTGTTGGAAAGCAAAAATTTTGTTGGTCTATGGTTTATTCCATACACTGTTTTTTTCTGTGGATTCTTAACTTGAGGATCAGTCTTGTCAAAGATTGTATCAAAGTCAGAGCCTCTTCAACAAGTGTTTGAAAGCTTGTACAAACGATGCTCATAGAGCACTTCAAACCTGCAAGATGATGCATGACACAATAACTCTGTGCGTCCCGCGCCAGTTGTCATAAAACCCAGCGAAAGCGTAAATGTACTAACCTTATTTCAAGCCATTAATTCAGAGTGAAATGTGTGCTACTGCAAGTAACTGTGGAGATTGTTAGTCACGATATACTTCTGCTCACAAAGGAACGGCTGTAATGAGTCCTACTGACACGTTTGAATACTGTTTTTTCATTGGCAGCCAATCACAACACAATGACTGGATGGTCCCAGGATGCTATTTACACACAAGGCTTGCGCTTCAAGCTGCAAAAGTATGCATCACTGTATACACGCACTGTACATGTTCATGTTGATCAGCGTTTTAGCTAGTGAGCTGTGCAGCCATGTTTTGCACAGCCAGTTTTGTGAAATCCCGGCCCATTTTTTCAAGCATGGCCTGGTGGTGCAAATCAAGCCGTGCACTACTTAATTTGAGGCTTGTGTAATCTAGATCCAAAAAAATGTGAAAATAAACTCTAAGTTAAAATTCATTCTTTTCCCATACTTTTTCTCCCTCATTAACCAAGTCTAAATAAAAAAATATACTGCAGTAAAGTACTTGATTGTACCCTAGGACTATGGTTTGGACGTTTGGTTTGAGCTTATCAACGTCGGCAGGTGGGTTCCCTCACTTACGAATAATGAACTAGAGCACTGTATCTATCAAGTTGTAACAAAATGAATACAGGGAGCCATACTTGTTCACCAGCGATCGATCATAAGTGTACATGTAATCAACCTCATTCCCATGACGATCATTAGTTGCCATATCATGAGGTAGTCCGTGGGGACGAGGTTGACATATAATCATTTTGGAGCTTGCGCTGTGCGCTCACTATATTATCCAGAATGCAACAACAAATAACGGATTACTTCTCGAATGCAAGGGCTGACCTACACGCAATCTTTGTTATTGTCAATAATCAGCATAAAGCTTGTTTAGGTTCTTCTACCTTAACGATGGAAAAATTGTCGAACTCTTCCAATTCAGACTCGCGCACAAGTGGGAGTGTCATTTTTCGCTTCTTTGTTGCGGGGCTGTTTAATCACACTATATAAAACAACAATTGCACTCAGTTTTACAATTTAATTTTTTCTAAAAGCTACTTTTTTTTTTAATTCAAAAAGGCAAAACTCTCATAAAATATTGTCAGAAATTCATCAGAGACCACCACAGAGCATCTAAAAGGGGCAGAGCTTCCAGGGTCCTTACAAAGGCCCTGGATCCTGGCTGTAAGGGACTTTGCCCTGCTCGTTTGTGTTGCATGCTTCAAGTTCGCGCACAAATTTTGGACTCTAACAAGATTGCTTCAGTCGAGTGCATTACGGAGCCCCAGTACTGTTCGGTGTCCAAACGAGGACATGCAAAGTTTCACTGACGTGGCCATCGTGTGGGTAGAAAGAAAAACACAGAAAAAATAAAACTGGCACTTACACAAGAAAAAAAATGAGGAAAATCCGGCATGTGGATGGCAAAAGGTGGAAAATGAAATTTGACATTCTTAACAAAAAAGCAGACATTTCAAACCCTTGAAATAAGCATAAGGGTCAGCAACCAACACTTTAAACAGCGCCTAAATCAGTCACAAATGCGACCAAATATTTGCCAGTGCAATCATATTTTCACCATACAGTCAGCATTTGTGACTAAGGATAGCTTATAAACTACATACAAAATGTACTTAAACAATTTTCAGTACACTTAAAAATCAAAAACGCAATGATTTTGTACTCAAAATTTGTTTCAGAATGGTATCAATGACAGCCGAATTGCATCATGAATTATATGTGTAAACCCCATGTCACACAATGTGTACATGTATATGGCAGGTTCCTCAAAATATGGACCATTAGATAATGTAACGTGAATATGGCAGGTTTCTCAAAATATGGACCATTAGATAATGTTCAACTTCAGGGGTTCATTTTCCTGAAGTGAACATCACTGAATTAATTCCCAATGTCTGATGAAATGAGGGAAGTCATGGCTGATATCTGGAACAATGATGACCGTGTCTATCTTTCAACTTACATGTACACGTACATGTAATTGGAGTTAAGTAATTAAAATCTTGAATGTCAGCATTTTTGACGGACGTGAACAACCTGTTGAAATCCAAGCCAATAAAATTTACCGAGGCGTGATAATCCCCGCAGTCATTTTACAGATTTATATGTGGTGAAAGGTGATAATATTTACACATATGAAAACATAATCACGAAATTAAAAAATACCTCTCACAATTAATAGGGTCCCAAAGTCAGTAGTCGTGAACCTCATTCGAGCGGGTAAAATCAAAATTGACGTACAACACAAGCTTTAAAAAAGTGCAAAAAAGCACCCACAAACCATGACCCTTTTACGACTGAAATGATCACAATTTCTTCAAGTATGTTTCTGAAAACTGCAGTCCAAAATACTGATCATGGCGATTTTGCTGCTTTTGTCATTATCTCACGGTGACGTAAGAGAAACATCGTGGGCTGTTTGACCTTTGACATCAACCCAGAAAGTGCGTCCCATTTTTCCTTCGATATTCATGCGCCCCTCCAAGGAATGGTGATGCTCCACAATTTTTCTCTTCGCAACAAGGTTTCTCGAAAGAAAATCTGTCATACTGAATGACATCCAAAAAAAAATGACGTCGGAGACATAAAAAACGATTCATGATGAAAATCTTATGCACCAAATTGTTAATTTTAATGTAATTTTCAGTGAGGATATCTCCAAAATAAACAGCGAAATGAATATCGCACATGGAATTTTCAAGCACTACATGTGACAGGGTTTTCAGCCTTCTCGAACGTCATGCATTTTTTGCCAAAATTCTTGAGCATCATCAAAATTCTGTCAAATATGACGTTCACAACGAACATATTGTACTCATTATACATTTCTGATACAGCCAAACTGAAAGATTATTTTTGGTGGTTGAAAGTTGTAAGACCTGGCAGATATAGTGGTATCTGAGTGATTGTAAACGGTAAGAGAATGAAGAGACCCAAACTTTTTCTCATCATTTTCTGTCAATTTTGTGCTCTTTTTTAATGGCTTATATTGTTTAAAAGTTATTTCTTGGTCGCTTTCAAATACATCAGTCAAAAAATATACTGAATTCTCCTTGTTGTTGATAGAAGTTTTGAAATCAAGTCCTCTGGTGCAAATACTTTGACGTAAAACTTTAAATGAATTCAACTCCATTTGATTTGCACTGGTAGCTAACCAAATGTACACAGTATGCCTAATTATCCCAAATAATCATGTTTATAAATCTAAGGGTGCTAATTTGTATTTGACATGATCAAAGTCACTCTTTTAGAAGTTTTAAAAAATGACAAGCAGAGTTGCATTTTGGTCCGTTTTATGAAGAACATGGCATATCATAATACCAGTACCGCTGAGGTCAATCCAATTGACGAAATCCGGGTTCTCGCCAAGGCTGCAAGGGGTTTCACCCACGGACGTTATAATGTCCGTGGTTTCAGTGTGTCATGGAACACCCTCCAGCATGAATCGTACTATTTCCGACACACTCTAAATCACAGCGACACCCTTTAATTCTGGAATGAGCTCCGTTTCAGGCTTCATTTACGTGTATGCTACAGCAAAAGATGGAGCCCAAGGGGTGGTTTAGAAAATGGACCTGGTGTTCATTTACAGTGCATCAACAATGTATGTTTAGATAGGGAACCAACCAACACTCACATCTGGACTGGTCCCCGTCCCTGTTATACAGGGACAGGCACCTGGGGTTTAACCCTAACCCTGCTAAATGCACCAGAGGTAAAAAGTTGTTGCATTCTGGTGCATTTAGCAGGCTTGGTGTTTACGCCCTAGCAACTAGTGCACCAGAATGCACTGGTGCAATCCGGTGCATTTAGCAGGGTAGCTAGTGGTACCGAGAGTGACATAAATTAGTTCACTACACCATGCACCAGTATGCACCAGTGCATGGGATCGAGTGTGAACTCGTTGCCAGACAAATCACGGCATGTGTGGCGTGCACACCATTCGCTCGTCCAATCCCCATCCTGCACGATGACGTGCACCATGAAAATATTCGCTGGCTGTTCTTTTTGTCACATTCATTGCATACACGTCTTCATTACGAGTGACACACAGTCGTTGATAAAACAGCAATTCGGATCACCGTCTCTAACACTGTCTGGTTCCCAGACCAAACAGATCCTGACTGTGTTTCGCATTGGTCAGTGATCAGGAGTTAGTCGCTATAATAAACGGATGGCCCAAATCAAAACCAAAATTTCACGGACGTCTACAAATTAGAAATCGTCCAAAGTAATGCATCGATGGTTTGATGAGGTGAGTGATCCGCACACGTAAATGTGATTTCATAGAAGGCATTTTTGCTGAGTCCCCACATTATGCACCGCTGTGGGACCTAGGATAAGGAGGGAGTTCAGTAGACTGGCCTCCAGTCTGGGGCTAGGTCTAATGATGCCCCTGGGAGCTACTAAGTACCAGTACTTACATACATGTACAAAGTAAAGATTCATGTCAAACTAGTACGTACATGAAGTTCATGTCAGCCTTGTACCTACATGTACATCCCTGTACGGCTGTTGCCTGTGATACATGTAAGTTAACCACACAATCTTTTTTGATGTGTGTAACTGCAGATTTGTGAGAATAATTTCAGTGGCATAAATGTCAGAAACTGTTCGCCCAAATTTAAAATGTACACGCTTTTATACATGTAGACAGCATGACACTGTACTCGGTAATGACAAGGAACCATTGAAAAAAATCTGACATGCCATCGGTCCCTCTGTTCTATTGACCTCTGATCATGATAGAATTGAATCAATGCAGCTTTCCATTGCTTGTGTATCGATCGCAGCCGTAGTCAACCATTTGGTCTCGGCTCGTCTTCGCAAGTACATGTGAACCGCGTGACTCTTGGACACTGATCGGGAAATAGTTGCCCCTTTTTTTAAAAGCGGCATGTTTTTGGCCCATTTTGGAGCAGCATTTCTATAAGCCTACATGTAGGTACACAAGAACTACAGTAACTATAACAGAATCTCTTTTCATGCCGTGTTAAATGTCATGAATAGCCCAGGGCAAAAAAGGCTCATTTTCTGTGGGTTTCGTGGGAACAGAGCAGATATCGGAACCCGCAGCTCTGGGGGTAGGGTCCAAGTTAGTCGGACTACACTTTTTGGGGTGAGATAGCCTTGGCCTAATTAAAAAATTAATTCAATAATTGGTTAGAACCTACCGGAAGGGCCAACATTATATATAACATACTATCAGTACTATACTAACATTTGAAAATCAAATGAAATCTGAAGGACCAAAAAACACATTGTTCTTTGTTTTAAGGGTCTCAGGGACTTTCGTTGCCCACCGAACTTTTTTGAAGTTGACACCGTTTTCAATGGAGCTTGAATGGGTTCAGTGCATGCACTCATGATGAAATTTGTGCACGCAACATGGCGTCATCTTGGTCATCAAGGAAACCTGAAATAATGAAAGAAATTATACATTTCTAACGACTAAATATCATTATTCGCTCTTCTTGCCTGATATGTGTACTTTCATCATCATGTTCGTCCATAGTACATCACCTGACGTGCTTCACATTCACAGAAATAAACATGAACCGGGATGAAGTTCACCCTATGCACGGAGCATTTTCGTCGAATTTGGCGCGCCTTATTTCATTAACACATGGCGCACAAATCAGCCCAATCCCTCCATTCGATTCCACACAGTATACAGTGAATCGGGCGTATGTTTACGCACTTTTCGGCGACTGAGAAATCTCGGCAGTGTCGCAGTCTGTACCATCAGTTACTGCTTGCTTGTTTGGGCTTGTTGGTGACGTCATCGGGAATTTCTGGCAAGTTTCTGAAATGAGATTCCCAAATGAGGATTTATATGACATACATGTACATGTACATGTACAACATTGAGTGGGATACTGATGCGCAGAGTTGCTGACTCGAGTCATGTGACTTGGACTCGAGTCGCTATTCCTTTGACTTTGACTTGACTTGTAAATACCAGCTTTGACTTGTGACTTAACTTGGACTTGCAAAAAATGACTTGTGAGTGAATTGGGCTTCAGTGCAAAAAATCATCATTGTTACCACTGAACCCAAGTCAGACGCTACTCGACCGGCCCCATATATTCTTTTAACTCGTAACTCTGCAAGTTGACGCCTGGTTCTTTTTGCTTATTAGGCCTACAGCTGGACAAAATAATGTGCAGCTTGACTTGTACTTTGGACAAAGAGACTTGTGACTTGACTTGTGTTTAGACCAAATGACTTGTGACTTGACTTGACTTGCCCTGTGACCAAACGACTTGTGACTTGACTTGACTTGACTTGCCCTGTGACCAGATGACCCGTGACTTGACTTGTGACTGGACCTAATGACTTGTGACTTGGACTTGCAAAAAATAACTTCCCACCTCTGCTGATGCATTCATTATTACATGTATATCCAACTTTATGCATACAAAGTACATTGCACTCTGCACCTTGGGAGGGGAAATTCTTTCGCACTTTTTTCCTTCCCAAACAATTTATTTTCTTTTCTCATAAAGCTTGAACAGGTCAAGTTCTTCACGCTTTATAACACCTGTCCATGCGCACATGACCAACTTCAAAACCACAATATCACGACTTGTCAGGAAGTGGAAAAATGTATATTTCTTTTGGGTTATCTTGCTGTTCTTATCCTGCTCCCCTCGTTCCAAGGATATTTTCTAACCTTGTGCAACTCAAATGAAACCATCTGTGGTATACCATGATGGAGGTCATAATGTTTACCCCACTTGCTAATCCAGTTCATTGTTTTAGGGGAACTTTGCCACAGTCCTGACCAAGTATTTTTGGGAACAGAATGTCACTTTCAGTTGTTTGGGAGATTCATCAAATTGGAAGTTGCAGATTGTTGGGACCTGGGAGAAAATCTGCTGATTCTGCTAATGGAGTTGCACAATGAACATTCAAAGATTTAACCAATGGGGAGTTTATATGCAAATCAAACTTTGAGGAAGGCTTGGTCAACTTGTGAGTGACGGCCAATCATATTCTCGATGGAAAAGTCCAACAAGAGACTCCAAAAGGCATTTCTGAGGGCTTATGCTAGGGCATCAGAAATGAATCTGCACCCATACGACCCAGCAGACCACTGGTCAGCAGCCCGACACTCGGACACAGTAGCCATATGGGGTGAGTTGCTGTCCTTAGAATAGTTTCTAGTTGTAATATACCTGTAAGTATACTTCTTTTTGAGTTTATTTTGATAACTTAGTATTATAAATTGGGTTACTTCTACTGTTGATGGACTTGTATTGCTTGCATGTTTTTATGATCATTCTCAATCACTGCATTCATCTCAAGTTATTTTACAAAGTGCTTTTCTCCACTTGTTCTAATTACCCCCTTGCTTGGCACACTCGATTCAACAATGCCCTAGTTTGTGATTGATGATGATGTTTGCCACACCGTGTAAGGATAAATTTCTGTTCTATTATATAGCTCAAGTGGCGTCTGTGTTTGGCAGTCTGTGTCGAGGCAGATGTAGCCAGTAGAAGAAGTGAAGCTTAAAATATCCAGGTTAGCTCCGGAATTTTATTGTATGTACTCCAAGCAGTATCACATTCTGAATTTTGCAAGTGTTTTTACATTATTTTGTGTGTCAGATGTCAAAGTTAGAACACATAAACAGAGATTAAAAGTTTTTACTTTGTGTATGCTGAGTCACTTTTATGATGTTTTATGTTAAGACGTGGCTTACAAGAATGGTAAAATGGCAAATTGGATGATGGTATCGCCG